TAATGTTTTTTTTTTGAACGAGAGTGGGTCTCGAACGAATTCAATAATTAAGCGCGTGGGAATCCCGAGGCGGCGCCTAGTGCGGAAGCCGAAATCCACGTGCCGCATGAGACCACAGTTATTTCCCTGTGAATCTCGATGCACGGACTCGCCACGGCACGACGCGGACGTTGGTGAGCGTAAAAACTGTCACAGTGATACAACTCTGATGATGATTCCTACCGCGCCGTTTGGGTGAATCCCGAGCGAGCATCAAAATGCATGCCAAGCCACTGACTCAACAGTGACGCGTCTGCCGAAAAACTACTGCCCCCACGCCGCCGTACATTCGCTGAAACCTCAGAATATTTCCTTCTGTCTGCCGTCACTGACTCACTGCGACGTGGGGTCCAAGACCCAACGCAGATGCGCCAATTTACTGTACAATTTGTTGTTGCCCGTCAAACGTGAGCAGCAAATGTTGCAGTCTCCTGCTGCGGCGCGCGCCGGGTTATTAGACAAATCCATCGCAATATACTACGGGGCAGCATGTGCCTTCGTTCACCGTGCTTAGGCCAGTCTCAGGGCGTCCGCAGTAGTAGTGCGTTGAAATCGCTAGTGTTCAGCTGGCCAGCCAGCTGGCCAGCGCACTCACGGAAATACTGTTCATCTCACAGTGTTTTCAGGTATAACAATATTTTTTTCTCACAACAATCAGCCGGAACAGTATTTTAACTTATTTTTCCATCCTGACGAACAGCCCCTAAGATGGTTGCATGCCATGGAAGCTCGTGAGGAACAGAGACACCGCGCTGATCGAAAGAAGTGTGAGACTAGCGCTTGCTTCATCGCTAGCGAGTCATTTTTCCACGCTCTCTCTCCGCCAGGTCGGACAGATTCGCATGGCTGCTGGCGACTTCGATAGCCCCTTGGGCACGCCCTTAGCCGAGGTTTTATGGCTCAGTTTACAATGCATTTGTATTTTAAAAACAGTGTAGAAGAGTTTGATCTTCACGAAACTATCTCTACTCCCATGAAAGCAAGTATAATAACAAGCTGTAAGAGCAACTCCAGCGGGCCCCTACTAGAGCCCCAATAGCTAAATATAGGGGCTCATGTAAAAAATCCAACTCCAGCAGAGCCCCTACTATGGACCCCAAATTCGTGGGGGCACTAAAATCCTCTCTTCAGACCCCATTCTGGTTGGACCAACACCCCGGGCCCCATCCGTTGGTTTCCTCTTGGCGCATACGGACCGCGGCTCCTCCGTTGCTTCGCGACTCCGCCGGCGTACGGACCGCGGCTCCTGCCCCTCTCCGCGATTCCGCCGGTGACCCTACTCCCTTCCCTGCAACTCCGCCGGCGACCCTGCTCCTACCCCGCCGCATCCAACGGATCTGCTAGGTGCTGCAGCCCGCAAGCGCGGAGACCGCGTAGGGCCGCCGGACGCCGGCACTAGGAGACCGTGAGGAGCGGAGGCCGCGCGGGTTGCGTAGTGGGGAGCAGCCGCCTGCCGCCACCGGTCGCGGGCACTAGGCCGCGCGGGGCTGCCTGCCGAGCCTTGTTCTGAAACTTTCATCATCTCTCTCTTCATTAATACATTGTCATGTCATCAGCATATTTAATGTCTATGAAACTCCTATTGAGATTGGCCTTATGGCACTCATTGTCATTATTGTTCTTTACTCTGATCTCGAGGAGCTTGTCTAATCCATTCAGTAATAACGGTACACTCAAGACTCCAATGATGATGCAAAATACAATGAAAAAGATTGCTACTACTTCAAAGAAGATTTGCATGATGCCACATTGATTGTTTCGATCGAGCCACCAACACTCCCAATCCCCAGCCTCCATTGGAATAAAGGATGCAGCTAGCCAATGGTACTGGTACAACAATTATGCCGCGGGTAGCGTGGTCGGTTATTTATGAAAATGATCTCCAACCAAGGATCCCCGAAAAACAAACCATATATGTTAATGGTAGTGGGTTTAGTTAACTACTACTCCCCTTGATTATTTGTTCAGTTTTTTTAAACACGTACATAAGCTGGTTGGTCGGTTCTGTCTACACTGAGCACTAATTTTCAAATACTTTTCTCTCTGAATTCAGATTCGGGCGTGTCTTCCTGTGTGGACCGTTTCTTGTTTCTCTCACTGCCAAAGATCTGCAAATTGGAAATAAATTGACCATTTGAACTAGTTGCCAGGTTAGTAGAAACCGTTAAGTATACCGAACGCACCTATATGGTATAGATTATTGTTGGTGACTCTATTATGAAATGTGCCTTTCTCTCCGATCATACTTGTCATTTTCGTCCTTTTTTTTTTGCTCTCTTCCTGATAAGAACATAGCTAGCCAGAGCCCAGAGAGTGAGTATAGTTTAAAGTAGCCAATGAAATTGTGGATCTGAGATGTCTGGTCGTCGGCGAGATTTTATATATGTTAACGGCCGTATGATGCATGGCGGTATACACCAAAATAGTTGCACACGATAGATTAATACTGGCATATGGATTACTAATCAAAATATCATCATCACTTTACCTGGGCAAGTTTGTTGGTCTAAGTACTACGGTACAGTTCAATTATGGCAGATCATTTGGGAAAATGTACTTAGGAATATTTTCATTTGTATCGTCACTTGTTCACCTGACTCATTGACTTGGAGGAAGAACTATACTTCGCATGTCATCGACTAGCTTGGTGATATTGTCAAAAATCACGTCTCGAAAAAAAAATTGTATAGATGAAAAGTGTTCTTCAAATGGTGGTAAGATGAAATTTCCTATTTACTAAAAACATTGCCTACGGCTTGGGTGTTCACTAATAAAGCTTCCATTCAGTCATGATGTTTTTGGTTGTGACTATCTTTGTCATGCGTAGCCAAAGGCAATAATGACATCAAATGACTGTGAATGCATTCTTGTTTTAGCTTAATCCGCCTTAGGCTTTAGATATACTTTAATTTAGTTAGTTTTTGTGAGCTATATCACAGGCCTAATCAGTAAGTGCAGTTCCCTTATTAGTCTGGCCCTATTATTGACAGGATGACCTTCCAAATTATTCTTCTTCCGTTGTTTCCCTCTATTTCTAGCTACAATGGCAAGGAAATCCTAGTGCTCTCTGCTATATGTGATACAACTCAAGATAGCAACATGATGAGAAAGCTCAAACCTGATAAACCCATAGAGGGATGAAAATAGAAAAATCTAGATAGGGTAGCCATTTCAAAAAGGAAATAGTTTATCAAATGTAACGTTAGATGACGTTGAATAACCGAGACACGTGGGAGGATCTTGTCGCTTCCAAAATGGGAAAGTAAGGTGTCATTGACAAGAGTTACATGTTGGAGAATCCTCTTTATTCAAAAGGAAAAATGCCCCATGTGTAAGCGACTCGGCAGAGCACACATAACGGGATCTCGTCGGTTTCCGAGCGCTATAGGATCTTGTTGACTTTCGAAACACGGAAACAGATCAATAGATTTGATAACGCCATTGCACAATAAGGTTCCAACCCAAATATGATAAAACCGTTAAGCTTGCCACAACTTTGATAACGTCATTGTGCAAAATAAGCGTTATTAAGAATATTTTGACTTATTGACATCTCTTTTTCGCTTGACTTATTGACATGTAGGAAGAACTATAATTTACATTTTATTGATTGGCTTGGTGATATAGACGAAATCACATCTCAGAAAAAATATATAGATGAAAAGTGCTATTGAAATGGTGGTAACATGAAATTTCCTATTTACTAAACACATTGCACATGGCTTGGGTGTTTACTAATAAAGCTTCCATTTAGTCATGATGTATTCAGTTGTGACTATCTTTGTCATGCATATTCAAAGCCAATAATAATGACATCAAATGACTATGAATGCACCCTGATTTGGCTTAATCCGCTTTAGGCTTTACATACACTTCAATTTAGGAAGTTTTTATGAGCTATACAGTAGGCCTATTCAGTAATAAGTGCTATTTACGTATAGAAGTTAGTCTTGTCATATTGTTATTAGGATGGCCTTTCAAATGGCTCTTCTTCGTTTGTTTCCCTCTATTTTTAGCTACAGTGGCATGGAGATCCTAGCGCTCTCTGCCATACGAGGTACAACTCAAGATAGCAATACATGATATGAGAAACCTAATCCTCCGTACGTGACAAACCCATAGAGGGATGAAAATGGCAAAATCCAGAAAGGATAGCTATTTTTAAAAGCAAAATAGTTCATCTGATGATGTAACGTTAGATGATGTTGAGTAACCAAGACATGTGATAGGATCTTGTTGCTTCTAGAAAGAGAAAAGAAGTGGACACCACGTGTCATTGACTAAATGTTACATGTTCAAGAATCCTCTCGATACGACAAAATACCCCACATGTAAGCATCTTAGCAGATCACACATATGGGGATCTTGTCGGTTTCTGAACACTAGAGGGCCTTGTCGACTTTCGAAAGACAAAAACGGAGCAATAGATTTGATAACGCCATTGCGCCATAAGGTTATAGCCTAAATCTGATAAAACAATTAAGATTAGCACAACTCTAACAACGCCGTTGTGCCGAATAAGCATTATTATTAAGAACAGCAGATTATAAGACAGTAGTTTCTCTCATCCGTATAAAATGGAAAAAGTGGCAGTTAGGAGTAACATAAGCTAGAGAGGCAGTTAGGAGTAACATAAGACAGCCACGCTTTGGCGCAAAACTAGGGAAATCGTAGCTGCCTTCCCGTCACGGCCACTCGTCTCGTCGTCTATAAAAAACACTCGTCCCTCTCTAACCCACCTTCCCTGCCCCGACCCCCCGGCCTCTCCCTGCTCCTTCCGCCTTCCTCCCTCCCTCGGCCCCGCCGCCCCTCCCAGCCCGCAAGCCCAAACAAAACGCACCGCGAACGTGACGGGAGCGAGCCACACGCGAGCGCTTCTCCGCCGACCCCGTCCGTCCTCCCGTTGGCGTCTCTCCCGTCGCTCGCGCCACGCGAACGGCACCTAGGCAGAGGGGGGCGCGATGAGGCCGGGCGGGCCGCCGAACTCGCGGGCGCTGCAGCCGCCGTCGCAGCAGCAGCATCAACAGCCGCGCACGCCGGGGCGGGCGCGCCGGCGCCCGGATCTCACCCTGCCTCTGCCGCAGCGGGACCTGACCTCCCTCGCCGTGCCTCTGCCGCTCCCGCTCCCGCCGTCCTCCGCGCCGTCGTCCACGTCGTCGTCTGGCGCGCTGTCGGCGCCGGCGTCGCTCGGCGCGCCCACCCCGCCGACCTCGGCCGGCTCCGCGCCGGCGAACCCGCCGCCGCTGTGCGAGCTGGAGCGCGTGCGGCGCATCGGGAGCGGTGCCGGCGGGACGGTGTGGATGGTGCGCCACCGCCCCACGGGCCGGCCCTACGCGCTGAAGGTGCTCTACGGCAACCACGACGACGCGGTGCGTCGGCAGATCACGCGCGAGATCGCCATCCTGCGCACCGCCGAGCACCCGGCCGTGGTGCGGTGCCACGGCATGTACGAGCAGGCCGGCGAGCTCCAGATCCTGCTGGAGTACATGGACGGGGGATCCCTCGAGAACCACCGCATCGCGGACGAGCACTTCCTGGCGCACGTGGCGCGCCAGGTGCTGTCGGGCATCGCGTACCTCCACCGGCGCCACATCGTGCACCGCGACATCAAGCCCTCCAACCTGCTCATCGACTCCGGGCGGCGCGTGAAGATCGCCGACTTCGGCGTGGGCCGCATCCTGAACCAGACCATGGACCCCTGCAACTCCTCCGTGGGCACCATCGCGTACATGAGCCCCGAGCGCATCAACACCGACCTCAACGACGGCGCCTACGACGGGTACGCCGGCGACATCTGGAGCTTCGGCCTCAGCATCCTCGAGTTCTACCTGGGCCGCTTCCCGCTGGGCGAGAACCTGGGCAAGCAGGGCGACTGGGCCGCGCTCATGTGCGCCATCTGCTACTCCGACTCGCCGCAGGCGCCGCGCAACGCCTCGGCGGACTTCAAGAACTTCATCAGCCTCTGCCTCCAGAAGAACCCTGCGAACCGGCCGTCCGCGATGCGGCTGCTGCAGCACCCGTTCGTGGCCCAGCCGCAGCCGCAGCAGCCGCAGCCGCAGCCGCAGCCGCAGCCTCTGGCCGCCCCGCCGTCATGATGGCTCGCCGCCCGCAGAAATCCACAATTCCGATCGATTTGATTGATTGATTCGCGTCCCCGTCGTGATCCAACTGGGGCGGCGGGTGGATTGATCTCTCACCTTTGGATAGTTGGTTGCCTGATTGGTTGGATGGCCATGAGATGTGGGACCTAGGGACGTTCTTCCTAGCCATTTTGGGAATTCAGGCCCTCCGCCACAGTAATCATCACCGCATCATCATCCATTGTTGTTGCTGTTGCTCCAGGAATTAAGTTATCGTCTTAGCACTTCTTTTTTTCTTTTCTTTCCCCCACCTCCACCATCATCCTTTCAATGTTCATGTTCTTCCAAATGATAATCATATAATATGGGTTGTTAAGAAAAACCATTGCGTTTCATCATTTTGCAATACATACATGCTGCATCTCACAGTCAGTCACTCATTGGACTGGAAATGGAGGGAATAGCTGGTGGTGGTGATCCATCAATCAAGCTCCTGCTCCTGGTGGTGGAGGAGATGATGACAAACATCAACACGGCAGTCGGCAGGGCAGCCTTGATGCTGTGCTTCTTGGATTCCGTAATCCTGGATGGATTGGACGGAATGACGGACGGATGAAATCTCGTCTCATTTTTAAACGAAAAAGGGGTGGTGGAAAAGATGGATCAAATCTTGGAAATGAGAACCAAATCATCTCCGTGGGGGTGGTGGTCTGGGGAATGGCTCGCTCTGTTCCTTTATTCTTCTTCTTGCTGTGCAAGAACGGATGGCTGTCAGGCAAAGCTCACCCCTGCGAGAAGCCGAGAACCGATCACCGATGTCTGCCTTTTCCTTTCTCGTTTTTGCTCTCCCGTTTGTTTCTTTTGGGGCCTGAGAGGCGCCGCCGCTTTGGGTGCACGGGCCTGCGCTGTGGTCATTTTTAGGCGTTGCTTGCCGTTGTCGTCCTAATTTTTACGAGAGCGAGAGCCGAGAGGGCCGGGGAGAAGGAAAAGCAGGGCAAGGGAAGGGAACCGGGGGGAAGGCCAGGTCCCCTGCCGGTTGCCGTGCGCCGCTCTGCTCGGAGGAGAGTTCAGAGTTGCTTGGAAATGGATAGGCCTGCGAAAGCGGCGGCACATAGGAAATGGGTTAATTGAGGGCATGTGGACGTATGGGAATGGCGTGACGCGTGAGCCAGGCATTCCAGCACTGACAGGTGGGGCCGGGGCTCATCAGAGTATGAATAGCATGAATAGTGTGTGCTCTTTTGCTCGCAGTGAATGCAGACACACACACCCTTCTCGTGCCGTGTCCTTGCGTGGCGTGTGCACCGGCTGACATGCGATGCGACGAACTGTGCTGCGCCAGGCCTCGGCAGTTTCCATTGCAGGACGGAGAAATCCCTCCGCAAGTTCACTGCCAAATGCATGGCGTCCCGGAGTTGTAGTGAGGAATTGGAATCCCTCGCGAGCCTAGGACGACTTGTTTGGTAGTGCCCCTGATTCCGATTCTCCGTGAGAGCGGATTCATAGAGAGAATCACTTTACAGGGGAAGCTACTTTTCTGGCTCACAGCCAATTCATTTCAAAGAACCACCCCACAGAATCAGTATAAAATCACTTTACTTGATAAAAACGTTTGGCAGAGCTTCTTCTAAATTTAGCCAAGAATCATCTACGGGAGCTCTGCCAAACGAGCCCTGACATGCAGAGCTCACTGCTACTACCACAGAATCAAGCGAGCAGCTCTTTTCTCCCCTCTTTTGTTTCTTCCACCCCCAGCGGCTAGCGTCACAACCACGACAAGCTGAGATGGTGTCACAAACACAAACGATTTGATTACTGCCAGTAGTTGTTGTGGTATGTTGCGCACCATGCGTTGCGTTACTGAATTTAGTACTGCGAGAGGTGGCGCTAGAAAAGTCCACAAGAAGTCCGTGAAAGGTGGTACCTGGTACGCAATGTACGTACACCCGAGTACGCCTAGTATGTCCAGATCCAATCTGCAGGCCCTTTTTCCCATTACAGGAGTACGTACTCCCATATAATAAAGTGAGATGACAGTGCAGTTACGTCAAGATAGACACAACGTTGATTCACTTGATTGGCGAACGGAACGGCGCCGGATTGGAACGTGCCGTGCCGCTCCGTTCCATTCCATTCCATGGCTGCGCACGCCACAAGGGGAGGAGAGGAAGGAGAACCAGAAGGCCGGCCACACGGGTTGCTGCCTCGCCTCTGATTGGAGAGAGAGAGAGAAGGGGGACCGGAGGAAAAAGGAAACGGGGTAACTGGAAGCAGCAAAAAGCGTGGGGAAGGGGAACTGACGCCTCGTTTAGTTGAGGACAGAATCGGCGCCGCCGTAGCGCCTGTAGCTACTGTGGCTGCCTCTGCCTGTCGCGTTTCGCTTGTAATTTGGTAATAATTGCTCAAACGTTGGCGTCATTATCTACAGCCAAAATGTTCGATCTCAGAAAGTCCAACTAAACTGAGCGCGCCATAGTTTTTATTTCGTCAACATTTAAGAATTGGCGCTTATACCGTAAATTTAATGCAGGACGAATAAGAATCTTCTTTTTTCAGGGCTAGAGTCTCTTTAAAAATTTGATAGATTTGGAGTGAACTAAATAGGGGCTGAGATGAAAGGTGCCTCACACGGGCCGGCGCAGCGCATCGATGGCGAGCCAGCAGTGGAAGAAGCAGAAGCCTAGCCTGGCTGCCTCTGCCTGTCGCGTAGTAGCCCTGCCACTGTTTGGAAGTTTCGCCTCGGCGACGCATCGTCGGCGTCAGCGTATCTACAGGACACTACAGTAGGATCTACGGAGTAGTCCCTGACACGGGAGCGCGCCATTGGTGCGTCTTGGCTGCGTCATGGGAATTGCGAATTGGCCCGGGCCCCAGCCACAGCCCACAGCCGCAGGATTCCTTCGGTTATGGGCAGGACTGATGAATAAAGATGGGGCGGGCGGGCGGGCACTTTTGCAGGGCTAGAGCATCTTTAAACGCTCTTTAAAAAATTTGATAAACAAATTATTTGCCAATGAATAAATAGTGGGCACTATTTTTACCTTTTTCTGCAGTAATTTTTTACTTAGCTTTCTAAAACTCAGAAACCAGGTGTGAGAAGGAAAAAAACCGTGACAGAAGAGGCGTCTAGAACTCTAGATAGATAGCAAGCGTTGGAACATGTATATTTGTCAGTTTTTTTCTTTTCGAAAACTGCTGGCAGGATTAGCACACCCACTCACATATACTGTACGGCGTATGGTTTTCGAAATGCGGGATCTCATCGTCTGCCGAGCCAAAGCATACACAAAGATTTTTTTTTTAACAGCACGTTGCTCTGTCCAGACTTCAGAGTCATGTGTCTGCCGTGTTGAGGTTGAGTACCGCCAAATGCCAATGGGCGTTTGGGATCTGGAGCCTCAGCCTTGGCTTCCGCCGCCGCGCGCGCCTCGGATCCCTACGCATCGGCTCGCCGCCCCCAAAGGCCAGGCCCAGAGCTGCGCGCAGTAGCTAGGCAACGTCCACATCGCATCGGCACCGGAGTGTGGCCCTAGCTACTTCGACGAGTAGACATCAGACGGCCGCAACTTCATCTCGCATGTTCCCCGACGACGCATTCATGGCTGCTGGCCGTGCTCGCAAAAGCCGTAGTTGCTAATCGGTGTGTCGTCTTTCTCTAGGTGGCCCTCGTCTTCTCTTTCTCTGGCACCGGGCTCCGGTTGCGCAGGTATGAACCCTAACTATCAGGGACCTAATATCGGGGTTTCCAATGAGATGGAGCTAATAACCATCGAACGTTAACGCTTCCGGACAGACAAGAACGCTACTACACTTCTTGCTCGAACGATGGAAGATTGGTTCCGCCTCGCTCGACCCCCGAGGGCTAGACTCCGCCTCACGGCTGAGGGCTGGCTCCGCCTCGCCCGATGGCTGAGGGCTGGCTCCGCCTCTCCCGACGACTGAGGGTTGGCTCCGCCTTGCTCGACGGCTGTGGGCAGGCTCCTTCATGATGACGAGCATGAGGTAAGACAGGACATTCAAGTCAACCGCAATACCGAGGACCGTACCCTGCATGCCTGCAGAAAAGTATCGTCAGGATACGACGGGACAGGCGCGTTAAAGCCCTTCCAGGCATAGCAGAGCCCAAACAATGTTGTAGGCGCCGACTTTGGTCTTATAGTGTTGTAGGCGCCGCCATCAGCCCTCGAGCGCGGATCCTAACATGAGCACACGACAACCACTACAATCCAAGAGGAAACTCACGTCATCAATAGTAACAGGCGCATAGTCACTTCCCCGTCTACTCCCCGCAAAGTCATGGCTCGGCACCCTAACACACCGCACCGTCCGTCGGGGGAGGATGGGACGTGACCACTCGCTGAAACGAAGCCAGAGCCCGGCCCTATTAGGATCAGCGAAACATGCTATCCCTGGCGTGGTCTGCCATGTCAGCAGGGCAGGCTCAAGGGAAAAGGAAGACCCGGCATCTTCGAAGGACCTTCTTTATCTTTGGTTTTTTCCTCTTTCTTTCATCTGTAACCTCTGCTCCCCTTGGTCTATAAAAGCGAGGGCAGGACACCCCACTAAGGGGACGGATCGATTCCACACACAACACACAACCAAGCAGCAACAGAGCTCTTGGCATCCTTTCAACCTTTCCATCAGAGACTTGGGATCTGTCCCTCTCTTGACCGTTTGTACCCCCTACTATGAACCTTTTTCGGTACTAATAACACGAGCAGCAGCAAACTAGACGTAGGGACATTCTGCCCGACACAGTATAAACCTTGTATCCTTTAGTACACCATCCGGGCCTAACACGCAACAAGTATAAATTTACTAGTTGATGTTCATTCGAAACACCGACAGTTGGCGCGCCAGGTAGGGGCCTTTGCGCGTTCCATATCAGGCCACGGATGGCTAGCCACGCAATCAGCTGGGTCCTAGGTGCACACGTGCGTTTCGATGACCTGGACTTCATCGTCACGGTGGGAGGAGAGTTGGCGTTGGCCCACGCCGCCATCCAGACTCTCCCC